TGCCAAGTGCAAGATGTTACACTTAAGGCTGATTGAATGTTTAATACTCGTTATTATTGATTTTTTTTATTCCGGCGCTCCCAGTCAACCTCCGTGCATATTACAAAGATCCCCTACACTGTTGACCTACTTACCAAAGGGTTAATGACCTTGCTTAGGGTTAATGACTTCGCTAGGGGACTTTGTGGCCTCCCTTAGGGTCTGCGAACTCACTCAGGGTGACTTCAGGTGGGATTATTGGTCTCGAATAAAATCATAAATCTTACAATTGTTCTTTGGCTTCACTAAAGGTTATTGACCTTAAGAAGGGACATTCACCTCGCTACATGTCAGGGACCTCATTAAGGATTATTGACTTCACTAAGGACATTGATATCGACTACGGACCCACTTTAGGGGCACTGAACTGGGATAGGATCACTGACCATAAACCTTTCTTCAGCGAGGTCAAGTTAAAAATTATCGACCTTGCATAGGGTGTGTGAATTTCCTAATCAGGCGTCATGCTTTTCGTCAACCGAAGCCACTAGCTGTGCATCAGTAAACATATAATGACACACACGTATATTTTAACAAACAAACCTGCATAGAGACCAGCCATCTGAGGCAAAACCATATCAGTAGTCTTAATGTCAAGAGAATTACACGTTACACTCTGTACATTTTATATTCTTTAAATGCTTTCAAAGTCATGCTTAGTAAAGTCATCAACCCAAATGGTAAGTGCAAAGGAAAAAGCATAAAAAGCGACTACAGTGACGGCGAGTATCATTGACACGAAGGATATGGAAAATATAGCCAGAATAGAAATAAAACGTGTATATTGCTAAAACCTTTTATTAAAGGCGCGTCATCAGATGATTTCTGCGGAATCGGTCATAAAGGCCAGTCAATTGTTTTCTAAAGGAGTCTCAAAAAAACAAACGTAATTTTTGTTGGACTAAATCTAATTTTTGCTAGATTTGTGTGTCCCTAAATCACAATAAAACCTTAAAAATTTGATATATCTTTGTAATTTGCAATAATATTCGGGGACTGGCATCTACTTTGTTTGTGCAAATAGTCGTAAAACTCTGCGTGCTGGATTGGAAGAAAAATAAGACTGGAAAACAGAATATACAAAACACCTCTATAAAGTAGATGCAATTTTCACTTCTATATATCGTCACCTGAAATGCAAAATAACGTAACAACATTTTTGGAAATTTACAGTGGCATGAATGAGACACGAAATAAAATGGAACAAAATATTAATATTGGTTACAACTGGTTTATATCTGAGCGCAGAACCTGAAAATATTCAAAATATGTAATTTTTTGTATGTAATTTGAAATAGTGAAACGTAATCAATAAGACACTCAATTTCGAATTTTTTGATGATACGCTATTTTGAATTTCAGTATGTTCAAATATGTATGTACATATATTGTTACAAATCTTTATTAATATATTACTTAAAAATATTTATGCTTGTTTGCATGAATCTTTCAGTAACGCAACATACTAGTCAGCAAATATGGGACGACTGAAGTCACACTACACAAAAATACAACAATTTTCCAATTGAATTGGTATTTTAATGAAAGATTTTTATTTTATGCTTCACGTACAATATTATACTATATTATGACCAAACTCTGACAATTGATATCTCGAACGGAAACGGGACGATCCGCTGACTAATTGGACATACACAGTATGATTCAAACTAGTTACTAAGTAATTTATAACTCGTTGATTTCACCACAGGTTACATAATCAGAAATCGGTGAGATAGAAGAAGTCGGTGCACGTGCAAGGAATACACAAATTTTCTCCCACTCAATACATATGTATGCATATACAAAAATACACATGTTCACGCTCTTTCTTATACAAGTGCATGATTTTCTTCTTCCATACTGCGATAGTTGAGTTCTCAATCCACCACCACTAACACCGCTTATCTTTCGGCATAATCTTGTCGCTATCAGGCAGGCAGTTCCAGGCAACGATCGGTGCTGTGGAGAGAGTTCAAAGCCTGAAAATCTCATCTAACGCCTTTTTAGTATATGTTGCTGGCGAAGAGTAAAACGCTCAGTTGAAGCATGAAGTTCGGTGTAAGCGTACATAAAATATTAATTTCTTAAAAAATTAAAATCAGACAGATAAATCAAGGGCAATGCAATATAAACGACGCGACACTTAATCGCAAAAAAATATTAAAACAGTACAATTAATAAAGTGAACATAGAACTCTTATCAAGCATTAAAAAATATATGTATATAATATATCATTAGATTTATATTAGCAAATAATTTAAATAAAATACAGCTAGGCATTAGTTGGAATAAATATATATTAAGTTAAGCACTTAAATTAGATTCAGTGCTGCATTGAAGATCATAACTTAAGGCATTTGATCAAAATTGGATTTGTGAACGTGTAATTTAAAAATTCATGACTCTAAAAGATTTGGAAGTAATAGTTAGTGAGCTTGGGGTAATTGAGAACGGGTCCAACAAAATGATGTCCAGAACCTTCAGGTACGTTTGGAAAATGGCGACGAATATGTGATATGCATATGTATGTGTAACGATGTGAAAAGAATATCTGTTAAAGATGTATGTATGTAATTGAGACAATTTTAAGAATAAGTAATTCTTAAAAATATGCCGATATGCTTGATTATTTAAACCATTTATGGCTGATTGTATACATTCATACATACCTACCTAGTTATTTTATGACGTTTGAATCGCGTGTTTTCGTTAGCTATACTCCAAAGGTTATTAGAAACCACTTGAAGTTTGTAGAACACATTCTTTGCGCTTATGATAGTTATAGTAGTTCCCTTACATTCTTAAGGTGCTACTCATTTGGTTTTTATTTTCCATAAGTACATACTACGTAGATTATATTTTAATATTATCATTACGTATATTCGTTTTGCTAAGCCGCAAAATAATAGAACGTGAAGTTCAGAAAAAGAATACTACACACTTTCTTAGAAGAAAAAAACGTTAACTTCTACTGCACCGAATCTCTAATATCTTATACAGATGCATTTTTTATATCACAAAAGAGTATAGAATGATATTTGAATTGATTCCGATCCGATCTGAACAATTTGTTAGAAGATCGTAACTTGCCAAATTTAGTGAAAATACCTTGTAAAGTAAAAAAAAACTTTATAGGATTTTAAGTTCGTTGTATCCTAATATAATCGGCAAATTTATTTTTAAACTGCCTTCCTAAAGTTGATAAATGCTACTATTCTTAAAACCTTTCTCTAGCGTAAGACAGTCTTTCTTGTCTTCTCTGTTAACCAAACATAATGGATCAGAGCGTAACAGATCATAAAATATTTTATGGTACAAAATAATTGTTGGATGCAAAGGTAAGAAGAAATGTGAAATTAAAAACTTTTCTCTTAAAATACTAATGAAAAAAACCAGGGATCAAGTTTTTTATGATATTCTGCTCGATGTTATGAATAAATATATATGTATGTCAAATATGGAACCTTTTAAAATATTTGCCGATTTGTCTTTTTATTTCTTGTGCACATTTTAGGTTTCCCGTTACATAGAAATATTCATAAAATGCAAGCGATCTTCAAATGATTTTGTGAAGTATTTTGATGGTGGACGAAAATTCAGATCGTAAGAAAGTTTATAGCCACTTTAACTACATTTCCTCATTTTCACGAATGGAATATTGGAATTGATATGGATCCAAAGATATCGATTTTGTTAAAATACGAAGATTGTCAATTTACCATTATCAACAAAAGTTATTACTGAATTTCTACTTACAAAGGCTTCAAATAACTCTATGAGTGAAGCACAAAAGAATTTCTAACGGGTCTAATTGAGTACCACCCCTGCTAACTTAATAACAATGATTTTTTTAAACATTTTTTTAAATATAACGGTTTTTTTACTTTAAAATTTTCAGCAATCAGAGCTGCTGGTTAACTCTTTTGTAAACACACCCGGTCCAAAGTTGAAAACTTAGATACGAATAAAAGTATTTATGATAGCAAAAAGTAAAAGAGAATCCCAAGATATCGGCGAACACTCTAAAATATGAAAACGTTATATACACGTATTATATACATATATATATACCCTACACTTGAGTTTTATCAGCTGGTTTAATAATTTCGTTTTTAAATATTTTTTATGCACACATATTTTTATAGCGCCTAGCTACAATAAGTTTAGCGTTTAATATTTTATAATAATCTCGCGTCTCTCTCACTCCGTCACACTTCTTTGTAGATACTTCAAATTGATGTATATTGTGGCGGGGATTTTAATGAGCAATGAAAAAGTTTGCGAATCTGTTGATAAAATGCAAATCACGCCCCGTGTTGAGGTCAAAGAGATTCTACAGCCGAAGAAAGTCTATAAAGGTGTTGAGAAAGCGTCGAGGAATTGGTTTCGCAGCTCCTACTGTTATATAGTTAACGGCATTAAGCAGCGCATATCGCCATTGTTGAGCATCTTCAATATTTGGACCATACCTAAATACTTGGTGGAGCGCTCGGCGAATTTCATCAGCAAACAATTCATCGGCAACGATTGTGATATGATTTACAATAGATAAATCGATTAAGGGACATGTAGACGCTAGTTAAAATTAGAGTATAAGATTTGCTAAGATAGATTGCCAAGAAAAATTAGTTCAAAAGCTAAATATTTCGAAATGCGAAGACTTGCAGAAGATCATGCTTCTGCAGGTGCTTAGATTATAAGCAAATAACTGTAGTTCTAATTTAGTATTAAGATCGAAGCATTAGCTGAGCATATTCGAGCGAATACACAATTTTTCTCATATTTGATAAGAACTTCTACTGACACCATTTACCTTAAATATGCGAATAAGTCTAAGCACATTTATAATGTTTTGTGTAGTTTAATTTTATTATTGCAAAATATTCACATACAGACGGAAATTTTTTAATAAATTTTGATATACATACATACATCCATTTCTTGAGTGTTAATTTTTTTAGTTTTTATGTTCAAATTAATTTTTTATTTTATTTTTAATATCAATATTTATTCTTAAGAATTTGTTCCAAGGTCCAGCAGTTTCGGCATTTTGTCATCATCTCATAATATTTCAATCCTCTATTCACCAACCGAGTGCTGTGAATTATCTGAATTATCTGGACTTACCGAGCTGCCGGGCGTTCGATCGCCGCGAACATGCAAAGTTGTTTGCAGCATATTTGCAATGCTGTCCACATCCAATTGTTCATCGTTTGCGGAAATCTTGCGCATTGCCTGACAAACCAGACTCAAATCGCCCTTTAGCTCGCTCACAAAAGCGGTTATCTTCTGCGCATTCGAGAGCACCTCGACCTCTTGGGTATAAGGATTGTAGCGCACACCGAAGGGGCGTTGTATGCTGTCAGCGAAATTTCTGATAAACGCAAATAGTTATTTGCATACATTTATAAATAAATAAATATATAAGTGCGTGTATGTACCTCATCTGCTCTTTGGCTTCCTCAAACGAATCGGTGTAGTAGTAAGCATTTTGATACGAGGTTATGATGCATTCCTCTTGACACGTAACATCCGGATCGAATTTTTTGATTTTCTCTTTAGCGGTTATGGCATGCTGTAGTTCAGCTATAGAGCTTAGTAGTCCAGCGCCATATACCTTGAAAGTGTTATCTTGTTGCTTGCAGAGACCAAATTCCACCGTAAAAAAATATAGCTGGGGGGCGGGAAATTATTATTTAATTAATTATTGTGCTGGTCAAATTTACAAATAACAAGCAGTAATATTTGGAATAACATTGCTTCCTTCCTACTTGGTTGAGCAACAAGATTGCAACTTTTTTTCCGTTTGGATACCTTTAGCATACGTTTTTATTGAAATATATATTTTGAAGCTTGAAAATATAGAGCCACGGGTTTAAACCATCAAACTCCAAAATTTAGTTCAGTGTTATGTCTGTTCAATTGCCGAGAAATTTCAAGGGTTTCTGAGAAAATACATTTTGCCAAGAAGAATAGGTTTGTTCACTTTAAATTTAGCAGAACCAAAACAACTAAAAATAGACTAGCTTATGCCCAACGCAATATGGATTAATTGATTTGTCTGCTATTTAAGAACTAAAAGAAAAGGTATAGACTAAAGAATTTTTTAAAAAGAGTTTTCAATAAATTTTGAGAAACAGTAACAGCTATATTGTCTTAATAACTCTCCGAACCCTTTCACTTCCCCATTTCTTTAACAAATGAATAGTAATTAAAAATATTTTAAGAAATTCAAATATTAACCAACCGTTGCTAACTTTTCAATATCTGCATCCGCGGCTCCCAGCGAAGCCAAACCGATTTCCTGAGAGAACTGAGCAAAACTTGGATTAGCTAGTAATGGCATATGACCCAGAAGCTCATGACAGCAGTCACTTTATATGAAAAAAATAAAGAAACTTTCTTATTCTAAATAAACTTATCTAACACTGAAGAGCTTACGGTTCAGGCGTGTAAAATGGATCCGATGAGTGTCGAATATACTGCGTACAATGGAAAACACGAAAAGCCAAGCCAGACAAAAAATCGCGTGGCGATAAGTAACCAGCAACTGGACGTAGCTGAAATCCCGTCTTACGCTTCAAGTAGTTACTAACATCCTCCAATTGAGGCACATTATCCTCACGGTAGCCGCAGTATTTCACCAATTCGGGCCAATTTTCCATATACTCCCGCACTGCGTGCTTGATATAGAGACGGTGAAGTTCACGGAAGACAGTGCCCCTATATTGAGATAAGTGAGCACAATTTAGCACAAATAAAATTGTATAAGAATTTTACATGTGTCTATCATTTTATCACTCATAAACTTAAGCACATACTATGTATATCTTGCGGTTTTATGAAGTCAGCACTACAACAAAAACTTACCAAGTTTTTATCTCCTCCGGTGTATAGCTCACACGTGGTATTGCATGTCCACTATAGAGTTTTTAATAATTAAGTGAAAGTAAAGTTTCAAGTTAACATAAATGTTTTTGTTTTTTTTTTTGCAAAGCTACCTTTTGTAGTTGTTAGCAATAGCGGAAAACGTCTCGCGACGCTTGCGATAGACTGGATCTTTGAAGCCTGGGTGGTCAGCATCCAGTTCCGAGCCATACATTAGCACATTTTGTGCTTTATCCAAATCGGATATTTTACGTGGAAACCAGACCATTTCTCCAAAATCTGCCAAAGGTAGGAGAGTAAATTTTTTTTTTTTTTTTCATACATAAATAGAGGATTTGTGGCCTACCAAAACTGGAGCAGGCTGATAATGATGGCGTTCGTGACATCGGATGTATGGTGGTGTAATTTACAGACTGCACCTCGCGGTTTAACATTTGCAGTACCTTATCCAAACGTCGAGCATCGCATTCCACATCGACGAGCACATCAGCCTTTATGTAAATAAATATTACGAATGAAAGTGTAAATTATTACTATTAGTACTAGAAAGAACATAATAGATTTTAAACCTCTTTAAGTTTGATTGGATTATGTATTTGAGAACTATTGTAAATAAATACAATTATTTAAAAAAAATATTTATTATATTTATAAAGAAAAATAACAAATGCTGATCACAAAAAATTACAGAAAATCGAAAGTCAACAAATATTTTCATAAGGAAGGGCTAACTTCGGGTGCAACCGAACATCACCTTAAGGTGCAAAAACAGAGGGAGGTATTATTGACCCGATTATATTTATTTTTTCTAACACTACATACTATTAACATGCCACATACTAATAAAATGTTCCCGGATATTTATTAAGGTACCTCACTAAGCATCACCAAACATATGAGGTAAAGTCACCCGAATGTTAGATGTTTGTATATTACGGCTAAGTCAAGGTAACGCCCAATTTTTTCCCGTTTTATCATAAATATACACTATTATCATTAAAACACGCTCTTTAATTTTCATTGAGATAATTCACATATTAGCTGATGTGATGTAATAAGTCACCCGAAAGTTGGAAAACCTCTATATTAGATATTAGGGGGCTAGAGGAAGTAATTACCCGATTCAACCCATTTTTGTCGGACAGATATACCATTATCAGGAAAGGTTTTTCTCTACATTTCAATTACATATCTCACACATTGGCCAATATTTTCGGTAAAAAGTCAACTATAATTTCTGGGGTCAACATATTCGGTACCCAGGGGCTCGAAGAGTTTTTATTGGATTTGAACAGTTTTTCGTTTCGAATAAAATTGAAAAGAAGATTCCGATATAGAAAAAAGGTAGATAATTTTGGAAAGCATCAAAAATCATAGTAAGAGGAAACGAAAGATAATTTAACAAAAATGGAAGGAAAAAAATTTAGGGGCAATGCCAAGTGGGGAGGAGGAATGGGAGGCGCGTAGTTGTATTTTTAATTATTAAAAACGGTTATCACGACTTCTGTCAAAAGTCTACAAGTCTTGTAAAAAAAATTATATCGAAAAGTTGTAGACAATAAAAAAGTCTAAACATAACCACAAAATCTATGAGAAATAAGCCAATCTTCACTTGATAGGTTTTTTTTTATCCAATACAAAAAAATTGGTTTAAAGTTACCTTCTCATGTTCGAAAGACACATTTCTTTTATTTTAAAAATTAATAAGGTTTCCTTTATTTCGAATTAAAGTTTAGAAAAATATATACTACAATTTTCTTTCTCATTTTTCAGGGGATAAAGTATTTTTTTATAAAAAGTGGGTAATTTTTATAATTTTTGCACATTTACTAAAATTTTGTCTTAGATGTTTCACAGTCAACTAAAAATAAATGCGATAATTTTATAAAATTCTTAAATGAAATTATGTTCCAAAAATTAAGTATTTTCCGAAAATAAATTTAAATAGTTTCTTATAAATCTATTAGTAACTTTTTTAAGCTAATTTTCCAGTTGACACAAACTTTTGGTTGATTTTCGTACGTTCCTTTTACCTTTTTATGTACTCTTCTATATTCTTAGTTACATTCTTTCCAGTTTCAATCTCTAAACTCACCTGATTGGTGGCCTTCTCCAACGGCGATAATTCCAAATGTAGGACATTAATGCCTAGTTCTTGAAATACTTGCAATGCTCTAGCTAAATTCCCAACTTGATTCTTCAAGGTGAAAATTATGGACACTCGATCACCTGGTGAACTTTGGCGATTCGAATCGGTCAAATCAATACTACCTTTCTCACTGCCACTCTCGGAATTCGAGGTATCCTATAACATTTTTTTTTTTAATGAAATAAAATAGCCTTTTAAGCGTTAAATTTAGAAATCGAAAACGCTTACTAGACTGCGATGTTCTTTGCGTAACGCATGTAAAGGGCTACCTTGTTTCACAGCCCACTCCTGCTCTCCACTACGATAGAGCCAAAGACCCAGCAAACTTTTACCAGAAGCGCTCATTTTAATAAAATTTATTTAAATTGTTTTTTGCACAATTTACTTTTATTTTCACTGTGAATTTGTGGAAAGTATGACTTGAATTAAAATCGCTTGCTGTTCAAAGCGAATGCGCGTTTTCGGCACAACTCGTCAGACCGATTTCCGAAAGGATACTGCAAGATCCGCAAGCTGTGCAACGCGCTTTTATAGCCTACATATAGGTAACGGGATAATGATTGACTATATCCCCGAACTTTCACTTCACCTTCCACTACGAACTGTTCTGCTCGTATTAGCATTTGCCCCTGCTCCCTTCCCACCAGCAGTATCGTCAAAATACTCAACTTGATTCGCACACAAACTGAGATGAGATAGTCGTGCCAACTGACAAACAAACGTGCGTATGCGTAAAGAAACTTTTACGAGGATATATAGACTGCAACTGATATTTACACATTGAGTTTTTCGCCCATCCACGGCCCTCCGCCCTTAGTCGCAGTAGCAACAAGTGAGTGTCTACAATGGCAAATACTCTACAAGTGGCAAGTTGGCGTGTTTAAGTTCTTGTGCTGCAAGTATGTCTGTGTTTAGTGGTATATGTATATGCTCCTCCTATCTCCCCCTCCATACCACTTACCTAACGTTGTTTTCACGATGCGTGTTCATACGTTTGTCGTTTGCTAGATATGATTGGCCAAATCATGACACAGTCAGGAAGGCATATTCCAATTGCCACAAGGAACACTGTGTCAAGAGGAAGCCCAGAAGCTATTCCAGTTGACACTATCTATTGGTGGATGATGTAAATTTGTTAGCCTTTTGCGAAGTTTCATGAGTTAGCAAAAATCAAAATAACAAAAAACAGTCTCGACTCATTTAATTTCAATGAAAAGGAAACTTTGTCGTTTCTAAATTGTTTTTTTTTTTTGTTGTCGTTTTTATCCCTTTGCAATCTTCAATTCATTTTTTCAAGCGTAGTTGTTCATTTAAAGTAGGTTATGCCTACGAAGCGTGTATATTTTATACTGGTTTTATCTATAAAATAATGCTGGTAATTAATGTTTCAGCCCCTTTGAATGCAAGAAATTAAAAAGAAATCGTCAGTGTTGCTTCTTCTGACGTAGAAGAAGTTTGCTCAAGAGGTAAGGCAACCAAAAGAAGTCGGTAGTTAGTAAATTATGACTAAAAACACATGCCCCAATTGCTTAGTATATCAGACCTATCATTACTTTAGTAATATTTGATTTGCTGATTGTTGGTTCATTGGATTGTTTTTGAGTGTCAGTGGTTGCAAATTTTCAACTTTACCTAATAAAATTTAAAGTGTTGCTCGATGTTTGCCCAAGTAAGATTTTTTTTTTTTTTTGCATATGTCTTGGATAAGTGACTTATGAGTCAAGTGGATAATCCAATAAATATTAGTTAACACTTCGAGTGGCTAATGAATTTTATGAAAATAGTACACTCGGAAGAATGTTCTGCTACATCTCAACTGTGATATTTTATTATATTTTTGAAACAAAGACGCGATAAAAAAAAATGAATTTTCAGAAATTGAACCGAAATTTAATCTTATTGGCCTTGAGATTCACTTATAGATATGATACAAGTTAAACCAATGGAGAAGTATAGCCTCTGAAGACTGTTCTGCTGCAACATGACCATTTCTCTATGAAACTTCTCAGTAAAATTTGGTGCCTCAGGAATATTTCCGGTGATATTTTTGATGATCAAACTTGTACCATTTATCTTTGCTGTTTAAATATTACATTATTTTGTGCAATGCTTCGATTGATTGTTGGGGTATAATTTGTTCTCAGTATTCGGCACAGTAAAATCAAAATATTTATATATATATTTTAAATTTTTGTAATATTAAACAAATAAATAACTATTTCTTTATCAATGAATTATTTTGACTTCTAACATAATTGAGATATAAACTATCCTATCTTTTAAGTTATATCAAACTGGACACAGTTAGATAAATTTTAGTGAAATCGGTGCAGTAGTTTAGGAGTTTACCGTGGACAAAGCGAGGCATACAGTTTCTATATATATATATATACTAGGGGATCCGGTCACGCGTTGCTGTGATATACAATTTATGATATTATTCAAATAAAAAACTATTCAATACAGTGAAAACTTTATTTACGAATAAAGGCGAAAACATTTTTGTCGGTATAAGAATCCGAGAGATTTTACTTGATATTTAATTTTAGATATGTTCATACAAATAAATTTCATTAAAAAAATAACGAATTAAAGGCTGCTTTCTCAATGTCTGGTTACCAGCCTTTCTGTCCAGTTAATAGAGTTGTGCGCTCAATAGATTCAATTTAATAAACATTAATAATATGTATGGTTAATGGAGATGTCGGCTTAATACATACATTTAATAGAGCTTTCTCTGCATTGTTTATTTATGAATTGTTTTTCTATCCTATCCTCTAAGATGGTTCGGACTGGACATAGTGTGTTAAATTTAAAAAAAATCGGTTCAGTAGTTTACTAGTCCTTTACGGACAAACAACGTGACACGTACTTCTTATATATAATAATATAAGCATACTGGTAAAAATGCTTAAACGTAACTAGCTTCTTTAATAAATATGCGTCTTCCTTTCCAGCTATTGTTAACAAATCATCAAATGTAGCCTCAAGTAGGCACACTTAACATTGCGCTTCCATTTCCTCGCTCTCACTGAATAAACCGCAATAAATCGTTGATAATAGTCATAGTGCTTTTATTTGTTAAACGACTCGAGATGTTTACCTTCCCCCCGAGCGCCGTGAAAAGCGCCGCTTTCAAGTTCACCATCAAAGTAAAGTGAAAGCGAATGCGTGAAGACTGTGTATCCTTCGGTTGCCGGCAACATCACGCTCTTCCAAGTTCTTCGATAGGCGATGTAAATGTAGGTGGGAAATCAATTGTGTGAAAGTGCTTGAAGATGTAAAAATAAAACTAGCTGCTTACTATTAAAATATGCGCATACGAAAGCATCGGACAACATACAATTGATATAGGTGTGTAAAAATCGTTTGCGCTGCCTGCCAACAACTATTGACAGAGGAACGGACTTAATAAATGACCGACTAAATGATAAACTGACATTTTTCTCCATGCAATCCGGTAACTGTGAATCACGCATCCATGTGTATGTGTGTATGTAAAGAATAACGGAATACAAAGGAGTATACTTAACCTTGTCCACAATACATCCTTTTGGTCTGTTTAAACTGTTCTTCCTTTTCCGTTCCATTCAACAGCAAATTTCCTCAGAGGAGTTAAAGCCGCGTAGTATTATATACTGTTTTAAACATTTTTCAATTTTTTCTTTTATTGTGCATAATTTAGTTTTGTTATTATTTATTTGTATGGCCTGCCTTTTCAATCGTCACTCAGTGATTGGAAGTTATTGTGTGCCAGTGAATAAAATGTTTATTTGCCAAGCAAACCATTTATAGGCGCACTCAAGGGGATTTATATTATTCGATTTGGCTAAAAGCGCATATGAGCATATGTATACAGGCACTCACATCTATATTTACATAAGTAAATGTATGTGTACATAGTTATAAACAGAAATAATGTTACATAATTATGGCATGGATTATATTATAGTATCTTGCATGTGTTTGCCGGATTCTCCGTCACGGACAGAGTTTCATTAATTTCTATTTCCAAGGCGCCTCAATGCGTTAATGAAATGCATTCATAGATTTTTTTGGTCTATACATGATATGAGTAATGGATGCATAGACAACATGAATATGAAATAAACAGTTAGATGTAAATTATCTTATTATCAGCCAAGCACCCTCACTCTGCAAGTATTTATATAACCTACATATTTAGGTTCATAAAGTGGAAGTGGTGGAAGGCCATCGCCAGCGCAACCAAATATGAATAGAATACTCGGATTGTGCAGTAAATTATTTATTTGCATATTGGTTTAAATACGCACGGAAGCAAGACAAGGACTCAGTTATCGATTCAATCAAATTAAAAGTTTCTATGAGTCTGAATCAACAAGTCACAGTCAGTTGCTTGGGTGATATTGCCATAAATACATGTGACATATGTATGTATGTATATTACATTGGCATTTATTTTCACACATAAATATACATTTTAATTTATTTAATCCTTACATCGTAAACATTTCTACTTAAGTTTTAGGCCCGTCAAATTCTCTGATCAACTTTAAACCGGTCTTAAAAAATTTAAATTTTATGCTGTCCACAAATTTGCTTATTTTTTCTCAAACCAACCTGACTTAGTTATTCCAAATCTTTTTTAAAACATTGCAAACCTCAGGGGTGAAGCATTTCTTAATATCTCAATGAACTAAGCTTCCAGGAGGACAAACAAACCTAATAAGAAAACAATTGTTTCTGGTTTGATAAACATAATCTTTATTATAACTCATTTTCGAAGAATTCACCGATCTAATTTGATAATGGTAATCCTGATTAAATTATGCCTAAATTTTTAAGTGGATTGTGGTTTCTTAAAATCATAATCAGTTATAAGATACCGAAGTCCTTTTGAGCAAACGAGGTATGTTTCAAAGATTGGAAGGCGACAAATAAAATAGCTTTTGTATGATAGCACGATATCGACGATTCCAACGAATGAACAATTTCTTGAGAAAGAAAGTTCGTGTGTAAGTTTTCAGGGAAATGTCTCAAAAAGGGAGGGACTAATTCGCTTTCATATTGACGTACATTGCTGAATCGCGTCCCCGTTTCGTTCTGGGTGTTACAACTTCATAACAAACTTACTATACTCTGTTCAGGGTATAAAAATGTACAAACTATAAATAATAATTTTTTTTATGATTCATTTGATGCAATAAATAAAAAGTTACACTTTATAGATGACCTAAATTTCGACTCATTTAAGTCGCAAACGAAAGAGCTCAATCTATCTAATAATAAGCTAAACAGTCCTATTAACTGTTATAATTCGAATAACATTAAATTTATACAACTGTCAATTTTATGCACGAATAGCTGCTATACTATACTCTACACTGCGCATGCTTGCTTGCCAGTACAATCTGACATTTTTCGCTAAATTCTTTCGTAAGTTCGTCTCTTCGTTGCTGTAAACAGAGCCCTAATGTGGCTCAGCTACTGACTAACGTACTGTCGAGCTTCCGCCAGAGTGACATTTAAATATCCCAAATCATCCCCAAACAACCGTCTGACAGAGCTGAACACATGTCGTACCGAGATCGGGGGATGTGGTGGCACTACCGTTGTAAACAAAAGCAGCAACGCAAAACCCCGAACACACAAAAGGACGCATGAGTCTTTATTCAAACCCAATTTAACGGTTTGACAGTTAAATTTCCCTTTACTGCTCTCAGTACAGAAGTGAATACGGCCACCCGTCGCTGTTGTTGCGACACCCCCGCTACACTTTAGTCATCAAAGTCACTTCCAAGGCGCTCACCGTCTCTGCCATGGACATTTGCTGCGACCCAAACGAAGTTGAAACCAAATCAGCCGAGCGACAAGCCAACAAAAACGAAAAGGAAATTATCGATCGAAGAGTGAAAAAGTCATTCGACGCCTGATTTGCTTTGGCAAAGAGGGCACACAAATCAGTTTTTCGCAAAAATTTATTTAAATACTTCAATTATTCCACAAAATCGCTGCGCAAAATTTGAATTATCGAAAATACGACAATACAAGTGTGTACTAACATAGCTGTTGTGCTGTATTCGGGAGTGTTGAAAGTGTAAAAAAATTTATTGAATTACGGCATCTGGTATCCAGCAAAAAAATCTACCCGCACACACACACACCAGCAAGGGGAAGCCCATAATAGTAATAGACACATACAGCGTAGAGAAGCAGAGGAACAAGTTTATAGCATCATGGCAGATAGCGAATTCGAGGAGTTCCACAGGCCCATCTTTGAGCCACATCAGATACAAACATATATCAGCCCTGGCCAAAAGAAAAATAACGCCCATACATTCTATTCGTAAGTAGTTCTACACCAAACAAACAAAAATATATTATTATAAAGTGCTAGCGGATGTGTGGATAAAGACATAACGTGGCACTTGAGAGCTCCCCTCAAGCATAGCTTAAATAGCACGACTCTTCATCGGTTGACATGCGTGTGTGCAGTGTTTTGACATATTTTGTGTCGTCCACTTCTTTTGTGTGTGTGCGTAAGTGCCTGTCTCAGTACGTGTCTTCCGTGAATGAAAAATCAATTGTACTAAATAATTTCTAAAAAGTAACTCCAAAAATCGTACTCCATTCACCGGCCTTCGCATTGTATGGATTCCTAACTGTATACTACATGAATCACCTTAGCGATTTTCATTTAAATATGTATACGAGTACACTTATATGACTTTACCTCTGCAGCTTAATACCGAATGACGACCTCGAGGATTCTCCATCTTCGAAGAGTGATACCTCTGATCAGGAAGATGCCGGCGGTGGAGATTTTTGCTGTGAAACAACAAAACTGCAGCGTCAAGTAGAGGATGATGAAATCGGTGACGGTCTTAAGGTGGTATCGCTCTCTTCGGATGGCTCGTTGGACACAAATGACTCCTTCAATTCACATCGTCATCATCCGTTGAATCATCAGGATGCAATTGGTGGTCTGGTTGGCATTGGTACAGGTGCTGGCACGGGCAGTACAACCGGCACTGATTGCGTAGTCGGTTCGCAATTATTACTTTCTCCCAATACAGCTGCAACAATTGGTGCAACCCAGCAGCAACAACGACGTCGACGAAAATTACCAGAAATACCAAAAAATAAGAAATGTAAGTTCCGAGTAGTGGTTCCAGTTGTACATACATACATACATCCAGTTGTATATAATAATTATTCGTGTTTTACTATTTTAGTGCTTGTGATCTGTTTGCGTATTTGAAATTTGTAGTTTAAGTTGTAGTTGACATGCCATTACCACAACACAAATACTCTGACACCTTAATATAACAGAATTTAAACTGCGACCCAAGAACCATTGTGCCCTCCCCTCTATACACGTACTCCTCAAGGCGCAGCACTCTGATGAATTTCAGGAACTTGAACCGTAAACCTGTATCCATAGATTGCTATGCAATCTAGAATCAGGTGTTTATCAGTTTCCGACTCCAGATCGCATAATCGGCAGTTTGCAAAAGAGGCTATGCCCATTATGGACAGTTGCTTCTTGAGAATCTAATGCTCTATGTAGAATGCTACTAGTGACGGAATTTGTTTCTCTCATTACACTAACACTTACAATATTTTTTTCTAGATATTTACTCTTGCTTCAAATTCCATGATGTTGTTGAGTCTTCTACAAAATCTAAGTATAGATTTCAACCAATTTTAAAATAATCTAGCCAAGAGACAGCCGTTTTTCATAATTTTAAATATCTGTTGATAGATATTTCTGTGTTCAACTTCTAAAACCCAAAAAGAGATTTATAAAGTTTTACTTTCAGAATTTTTGGATATTCTACTTTCTTCCTTACCTGCACATATGAAGTTCATAATCTGATGATCTCTATGGAACGACTTCGCACTTATGCATATCATTCATTCATTCACATTTCATTTAATACGAAAAATTACCTTCGCCAATTTTATGATTCAACGATTCGTTATTCCCATAATGGGAACATATAGGATCCATCAAGGGATGTCAATTCAATATCGTTTATCCCTACCTCATGGTAAAAAGATGGATGATACAAATCTTTCTAACCTAGTATTTTAAAACTTGCGCCAAACATATCATTCATACTCGAGAGGAGTGTAGTATATATACAAGTATATTAGACGAGACAAGATTAAAGTTTGAATAATTCCCCTACAAATTGAATTAAAGTCTATTTATACCCACCACATACTGTAGTCATCTCTTCCGTAGACATTTTTCATTTCCTTTCAACAAAATTTGCGTCGACTATCATTTGCACCAATTGGAGACGTTTGTTATTTGTAGTGAGTTTTTAATGTGCTCCTCGAACGCATTCGTTGCAGCTTCCATTCTACATCTTTTAGGTGGTGGATATGGGCAGACTACATTGGCTGACGAAATGAACAATGGGCGCAATCAATTGAACGACAACAATAACGCCATCACAGGAAATACAATTAACGGCAATTTGAATGGTTTAAATAGTAGCACCGCAGTACGAAGTAATCAACGCTCATTTTTGACACTGAAATGTGGCTATCTACTAGATGAGGACTCCAGTCCAGATTCTGAACGTTTACAGAGTTTGGGCGATGTGGATAGTGGCCACAGTACAGCACATTCCCCAAATGATTTCAAAAGTATGTCACCACAAATCACTTCCCCCGTTTCACAATCACCATTTCCTCAGCCATTCGGTGGTGTGCCCTTCTCCCAACTCGAAATGCTTGAAGCTACACATCGTGGCTTACACAAGTTTATACCTCGTCATCATGATGAAATCGAAATTGAAATTGGCGATGCTATTTACGTACAAAAAGAGGCTGACGATCTCTGGTGTGAGGGTGTAAATCTGCGCACTGGGCGACAGGGTATTTTCCCTTCAGCCTATGCGGTTGATTTGGATTACAATGAGTTCGATCCGACGGTGCAACAGGTGAAGAAGGAGCGTTATTTACTCGGTTATTTGGGTTCGGTAGAGACATTAGCTCACAAGGGAACCGGAGTTGTGTGCCAAGCAGTGCGTAAGATTGTTGGTGAATATGGCAATTCACCAGCCGGTCAAGTGTGCATACTGGAGGTGTCGGATCAGGGTTTGCGCATGGTAGACCGTTCGGGACCAAATGTGAGTTATTGGGTATTGAAAATCCATAAAAATTAAAAACGAATTAATGACCGTTGTGATTTTTTATTTTCTTACAGAAAAAGGACAAGAAACCCTGCATCGATTACTTCTACTCACTAAAGAATGTCTCATTCTGTGCATTTCATCCACGTGATCACCGCTTTATTGGCTTCATAACGAAGCATCCAACGGTGCAACGTTTCGCATGTCATGTCTTCAAGGGCTCAGAATCGACACGACCCGTAGCCGAAGCCGTGGGGTGAGTTAATATAATTTATTACTTTTAATTGCTTAAGAAAACGTTTTTAATTTTATTTTTTGCTTACCTTTGCAGTCGAGCATTTCAACGTTTCTATCAGAAATTCATAGAAACAGCATATCCGATTGAAGATATATACATAGAGTAAGCTGTAAGCTATTCGTATCGACTGGTTCATAAAATGGATGCGCTGTGCTTCTATTGCATAGAGATTGCTTAGTGCTGGTTTGTGGTTTACGCTTATTTTCACATACACACGTTAACACAAATAAAAAAATTAAAAATGTTGTCTTCAACAAGTGTGAAGTGAGTACTCTTAACGGGTGATATGTACTCTCACGCTCGTGTTTATTTAAAGAAAATAATTAAATTACTATATAAAAAATTAAGTGAAACAAAAAATACATATATCAAGTTTCAAATTATTCCAAATTAATTGAGCAACAACAACTACTTAAGAAAATAATTAGTAATAGTCGTTTAGTTGTCATAGTCAGAAGTATTCGTGAATACACTATTCGCCCGTTCTATTGATCCAAATAGTTTTTAAGATTTGCAGTGGCAGAAGTAGGCCTATTCGAAAATTTCAAGTGGAAGCATTGATGATTAACTTGGCTTTCGAAATTTCCAGTACAAGAATATAATAAGGCATATAGACGAAATATTTACATCAGGTAATTTAATTATTTTTTATGAGATTATTATTCATATTTTAATGGGCCTGCAGATAAGAAGGAGCAGGGTTTTTAATTTTTCTAATCTTCTAATTTTTGTGAAATTTGTGTCAAAATGGCAAATCGATTGGAGCAAAATTGACGAAGTCATGAGTATTTTCATACCTGACCTTCGAACGTTTGTCATCTGATTTCAAAACTTTGGAGCGTTTTCTCCCCAACTCACGTGATCAAAATGGTACTCTTCATAAATTGTTCTGGAGAGTTATTTTCAATTAAAAAAAAATATTTTATAATAACGAATAAATAAAAACCAAGCTTTTTCCTTCAATAAATTACATTTGGAAAACCCGTTTCGGAGTTACCTAAGAAAACAATTTATTAACGAATGATAATTTCTAATGATCTATCATACAATTCAACCAAGTTTTAAGGAACACCGCAAACTTATGTACCTTTTCCAACGGCGCTCCAGAGTAATTGCTTCCATTTTCGTATTTTGATAATTTCTCCATGAAGATTTAACAAAATGTTATTGAAATACAATTTTTAACTACTTTATAAAAAAAAAAACCTTAAAATGAGTCTTGTTTTACACAAATTTACTGTACTCCCCCAATAAATTATACTATTTCCTATAATTCATTACTTTTTCGCATTTTTTTCTCTTTTCTCCGGAAAGTAAAGAGTAAGGTTTTCGTCTGAATACAACAAAAATTCGAACAATTTTTAATAAGGCTTCATTTTAAAAAATTTATAAGAATTTTAAAGCTTTTAGAAACTGAAATTATAATCCTGAAGAATATTTGAAAAATATAAATTGTCCAATGTCCTCATTTTATTTATAAAAAATGGATTCATTGTCAACGTTTGAGTCAGCAGTGAAAGGAAAGCAGAAAACTATATCTACAACTCAAAAATAAACTTTCAGAATTTACCATTGTAATGAAGATGGAAAAAAATAGTATGTTCTAATTTATCCCCCTCGCAATCATTACCGTCCGTGGTTATGTTAAATACTCATTACCTCATTTCATTGATCATTAAGGAAATATTATGTTTTAGATTAATAATTGTACATTTCTTAAACTTTAAACTAATTTATAATAAATAATGTGTGTTTATAAATTCTTATTGACTATGATTAGTTCTAAGCTTTCAATTTCTGCTTAAGATGATAGTTTAATTTCGGTTAATAAATATTTTTGCAATATAAATACATGCACATATGAAAATCAAAATCGTTTTTTATAACAAATATAGTTTTTTAAAAACATTTCTCTCTTATTTCTGGAAATAAAAATTATAAAAATAAATTCAAATTTTTTTTATAAATTTCAATAACTAATAAGAGTGTAAATAGTTTAGAAAATGTGAGAGAAATAAGTTGCAGGAATGTGTTGGAATGCGCGCTTTAGAAATGAGTGATATGTAAAAGGTGTCGAAAAATCATTTAAATATATTTAATGTTTAAGAAAGGAACAGTGGGGCGACATTGTGAGAAAATCATGTCTAAAACTATTTTTTTAAGCAAACTCAAAACACATAATGAATTGTTGATTTTTTCGAAAAGTACATTATTCTAAAATAAAATACACGCATTTTCAAAAACTCAATTAACACCAAACAATAGCAATCAAAAGTTTTCGAAGAGCTAGTACTGTTAAAACCCAAACACAGCATACATGTTAATACGTAAGAAAAGAAAAATTCAAAAACTACAAAAACATTTGTTTATATGTATAAGCAAATAAAATAATTACAGCTATAACAGATTAAAAAAAAAATATATACAATTAATTTGAAATAATTCAAAAAAAACATATTCATTACAAGAAAAACAATATGAAATGCAAAAACTTAGTTACATTTCTTTTTTTAAATTTTTTTGTGAATTTTCAAAACCATTTTTCAAGGTTCTTTTTCTTTCGTTCCACACCATTTATGTTTAAGTGTCTTTAAATATACTTTACACATACTCCAAGGAATAATGTTTTGAATCTTTAAGCTACTAGATTTCTAAATTCATTTTTCTAAATAAAAATTCTTTCCATCTACGCATTTATTTTAGCAAATATGTATGTATGTATGCTCAACTTGATTTCCTTGCTATCAAATGCACAAGCACGTACGCATAAAAGCATATGTATCTAAAGCTCACCAGAATTCTTGGTGACTACAAAACAAGCAAAGAATAGCTTTCGAAGATTGTAAAACAAATTTGTTGATATTTGAAGAAAAAAAACGACTTAATTAAATCAACTAAATAAAACAAACAAAAAATTATATGCAATTACATACATCCATAAATACATATTTTTAATTAAGTCAATAAACGAAAATTTCTTCTGGGAAAAACAATAAAGAACAAAAACACACTCACATACATATACAGGGTGGCTGATGAATTTTGCTACGTTAAGAAACTCAAATATTTTTTTTTTTTTTTCAGTTATGGAATTCATTTTTCTTTTATTCATGTTAAAGCTCATTCAATTTTATTAAATATAGCTTAATTAGTTTTAAAAATAATGGAATTTAAATGTCCCCCCTGCTCGTTGATGCATGTGCGGCATCTTACCAAAAAGTTAAAATTACTGCTTGGAGAGTTGAGATAGGAATAGCCGCAATTGTTTCTCGAATGGATTGCCTTAGTTCATTCAAATTTGTTGGTTTTACGGTCTCCAGTAACCGTAACGATGTGACCGTATTCTTCGAAGAAGTAGGGCCCGACAATGCAGCGAGATGAAACTGCACACCACACTGTGACACGAAGTGGATGCAATTCCGCCTCAGGGAATATCTGTGGGTTTTAAGCACTCCATATCCGACAATTTGGTTTGTTTATGTTGCCGTTTAAATCGAAATGGGCCTCGTCAGACATGAAAAGACAGTTCAAYATGTTTCCATCCTCTTCCACCATTTGAAGCATCTTCTGAAAAAATTCCAAGCGAATCGGCAAGTCTGCAGCGTTCAGTTTGTTGACCATTTGAATTTTATATGGGAATAAGTCCAAATCTTTGCGCATAATTGACTGTAATGATTGTCTGCTTACACCCATTTGAGCAGATAAACTTCTTGTCGAAACACGTGGATTGTTTTGTATGGCAGCAGCTGCAGCAGCGATTGTTTCCTCCGTTCGAACTGAAGGGTTTCGATGGTAAGGTCTTCTGTTGACTGTCCCATGCTCGGTAAAATTGTTTACAAGTCTCATTATGGTCCATCTGCTCGGAGGATTGCCGCCAAACGTGCGCCTATACTCCCTTTGAACCGAAAATACGGACTCCAGTGCGTGATAGCGGCGGACAATCCAATCTTGTTTCAGTGTCCCAGTTATCCATTTTTATAAATGTAAAAGTCAATCTGCAAAATAAAAAAAATAAAAAATAACCAGATTCATTAAACAGAAAAAAAGTTATTTAATTTTTTTTTTTGGTAGCGGCTTTCATCAGCCACCCTGTATGCATACATATTTACTAACATACATAAATACATACAGTACTTATGCGTAAGTTACACTCACAATTTCAGTAAATAGAAATCAGTTACATGCATAAGTATTATTACATAAACTACTAATAAATATACACATACATACATATATACAATATACAAATATACTTATATTGTAAAACATTAAGAAGAAGAAAAATGAGAATAATATTTAAATAAATGTATATACTACGTACATATACAATTATGAACTTGGTAGAGCGTTTTTAATAGTTTGGAGTGTTCAGCAATTTTGGATTATAATAAGACTACTGAAGGAATCAAGGTAAGGAACTCTCCCGCCTTCGAATTATTGCAGTCATAAGGTTTATAGACTTTTTGCATTTTCATTATGAGATGTTACGCTCTTTATGATAATCATTCATAATTAACGGTAATACTTGTAAATCGATCAATCTATCTATTTATCGAGTAATACCCATACATAATACTCGACCGATATGTTCATGACAGTATTCATATATTTAACAAAATAGTGATCATACTCTTAACAAATTTTGCATTTAATTAGTTATGTAATTATGAATTGTTGCTGCGGCGAACAATATCCTCCTTGTGGGTTGGGTCTACCAACAAGAAGGACATAATGTTAAAATGAAATAAAACGCTCAAATTTGTTCGGGTTCTGTTTTTTTTTTAATTTGATATTTTAGAATTTTGATATGATAAAATATCAAACATTGCTGAACACACTGACAAAATTGATATAAATCCGTTAGCAAACCCGGTCGTCACCAGCTGTAAAATCTACGTCATCCCTTTTGGCAAACGCGGCATAAATTCAGGGTACCGGTTATGTAGAGCAGAACATCGCTAATAGAAAGTCTCAAATGTACAATAAAACTTGTAACAAAACTAAAATTTTCTATTATGTAAATGCCTAACACATCTTCCCAATTGTCGGCTCCAATCTGAGCATAAATGAGTTATGTATGTCAGAAAGTATACATCTGATCAAAAATGATCCGGACTAACAAAAAGAAGCATTACCATCTATACAAAATAAAAAACCCACTTTCGAAATGGGTAATGATGCGTTTAATGAATGTCGTTCATCAGCTACTGTGTCAAGTAAATTTTCTAGGTTACCATTGACATGTTCGTACCTAAAACATAAACAAACCATAATATGAGGTGAGTCGATTTATAGTAGATGTTGAGGTGCTCTGCTATCTTCGATGTTATCGTCATTAACAGAGACGGATAGAGGACTCTCAAGACACAAGAGTTTGGTGACTTCACTACCTTCACTGAATGTTTTGTGCAACTCAAATATTTGTATCCGTGATAAATTAGATTCCTCAAAGACCTCTGCAACATTTTCAACGATTCCAGAGCAGTGATTGGAAACACAAAATTACATTTTTTTTTACATTTTATCTATTCGGTTTGCGCGTGCAGTTTAAATGAACTAGTCCGTCTCAAATAAGCTTTTGAGTGTTTAATGGTAGTTAAGAAAAATACAATATCTGCTGACAGAACAGGAACAGAAGAAGGATTTAAAGCGGTAAGCGTTACCTAACCCAAAAACCATAGAATTTATAGCAGTAAATATTTCGTGATGGATGCTATGCAATATATTCTCGTTTCAACTTAAACCACTTTTCTTTAATATTTATGCACAAATTATTCTATTTTCTATTTATATTACGCACTAAATATCTGTACACGCTTTTCTTCTGATTACCATTGTTTTCATACTATTTTTTGTCAATAGCATATTGATCTATATTAAACATATTTTTAAATGAGTTTTCAGTTT